TTCTTCTACCCCTCCTAACAATTCCATAAAGTACTTCTTCCACTCTCCCATCTCTATTCCTTCCTCTACTCCTCTACCTTTCTTCCTTCCCCTGTTTATAACCTCCCATACCTGCCCTTCCGTCTTTGCCTCTGCCGCTTTTCTTATCCATTTCTCGTTTTCTTCTTTCCTCTTTTTATCACACATTTCCTTGTACTCCTTTTTCCTCCCTTTGTATTCCCTCTCCTCTCCCTTTCCTTTTCTCCACTCCCTTAGCACCTTCCTCACCTCCCGTTTTTTACTCTTACATTCTTCGTCCCACCATCCCCTCTTTCCCTCTCTCCCTCCACCCTCTCTTTCTATCTCTTCTATCGCATTCTTTATTCTCTCCTCCCACTCCTCCCAATCCTCCTGTACCCCCTCCCTACTTTCTATTTCTCCTATCTTTTGTCTAAAGCTTTCCCTTCCCTGTTCATCCCATCTCCCTCTCCATTCTTTCCTCCTGTTCTTTCTTCTTCTTCCTTCCCCTTCCTTCTCCCCTTCCCCTATTGTTATCTCTACCGGATGATGGTCAGACTCTATTTTGTCTCCTATTACTAACCGTTTTACCCTATCTCTCGTTTCTTTGCCTCCTATCACATAATCTATCACTGTGTTCCCTCTCCCACCTGTATATGTGTATTCTCCCTCCTCATCTCCCTTTATTCCTCCGTTTAGTATTCCCCACTCTTTCTTCCATAAACTCTATTAAAGCCCTTCCCTCCCTGTTGACTTTCTTATCCTTCGATCTCCTTTTCCTTCCTTCTTCTTTTCCTTCTAACCTTTCCTCTATTATCCCTCCTCCGTTCTCTCCCGTTCTTGCGTTGAAGTCTCCTCCTATTATATTCCTACTTCCTACCTCTTCTACTTCCATCCACCCTTCTATTCTCCTTAGTTTCTCTTCAATATCCCCGTTCACGTACACTCCCATTATTCTCCATCTCTCTCCCCCTCTTCTTGCTATTCCTGTTATTATTCTTCTTTCATTTCTTGTGCCTATCTCCTCCCCTCTTTCGACTCATTCCCTTCTTATCCCCATTACCATTCCTCCTCTTGCTCTTCCTCTTATGTTAATCCTCTTCGCCGGCTGTATCCCCCATTTGTATCCCTTTGGTAAATTCTCTCTCAGTTTCTTCACCCCTTTCTCCTCCACCCATGTCTCCGTCAACATCATTATATCCCACTGTTTTAAAATCTCCCAAAAATCCTTATCTTTCCTTCCTATCCCTGCCACATTCCAGAACCCTACTCTCCATTCTGTCTTGTTCTCCCCTCTTCCCTCTTCCTCACTCTCCTCCTTCCCCACCCCTTCTCCTCCCTCCCCCTCCTTACTTTCCTTCCCCCTCTCTCCTCTACTTTTCATTCCCCCTTCCCTTCCTCTCTTACCTCTTCTATCTTTTAGCACCTCTTCTTCTTCATCCCAGATCCACCATTCTTCCTCTATTCTCACCTTCCCATAGCTTGTCCACACCTTTCTACCTCGCCTCTCCTCTTCCCTTGCTATCTCTTCTATCCTCCATTTCATCTTCCTCTCCCTCCACGTCAGGTCATCTGCTAATCTTTCCTTTCTTCCCTTTAACATTCTCTTCTTTCTCATTACCTCTCTTTTCTGTTCCTCACTTCCTAATTTCACTAACCAAGTCTCCGGCCCTTTTTCCCTTATTCCTCCTATTCTGCTCATGTCTTCTATCTTTGCTTCCACTCCTAACTCCTTTATTAATTTCTCGAATGTCTCCCTCCCTTTCCCCTTCTCTACCTCCATACCTCTCACTATTACGTTCGCTCTCCTCTCTTTCCTCTCTTTTAGTTCTAATTTCCTCTCTAACTCCTTCATCCTCTCTTCTACTCTTTTATCTCCCTCCCCTTTCTTTGTTTTCTTTTCTTCTCCCTCCCCCTCTTTCATTTTAGCTATCCACATCTTTTCCATCTCTTCTATTCTCCCTATCAGTTCCCTTTTCTCCTCTTGCCATCTTAGTTCCCTTTCCTTTAGCTCTTTTTTCATCTCCTCCAGCTCCTCTCCTAATATTCTTCCTTGCTCTCTCAGTCCTTCTCTTATCTCCCCCTTAATCTCCCCCCTTATCTGTCTCAGCTCGTTCATTATGCCCCTTATTCCACTTATTTCCTCTCTCATCCCCTTCCTCACTTCCTCCTTCATCATCCTCTCTTCCCCTTCTCCCTCCTCCTTCCCCCTCGTTCCCCTCCTTTTTTCCCGGAGATCTTGCCATTAAACTGCTTCTCTTAAACACGTCTCCTTCCTCCCTCCCTCGCTCCTCCCCCTCTCTTGCTCTCTTTTTCCTTAGAAAATCCTGTATATCTCCTGCGCTACCTCTTCTACCTTTCGTATTACTCTCTATGTGCTTCCTATATCCCTGCTTTCCATCCATCTCGCGCCCTCTACAACTCTCCTTACCTACTTGCCTATCTATGTACTCTATATCCCCAGTCTCTACGCTCGCTTGTTACCTGTCACCTGCTCTATCCTCCTCCCTTTCCTGCCTTTCTCCTATGGTGTTCCCTCCACTCACTCTACTCCGCACACACTCACTCTCTCTCCTTTCGCCCTCTCTCTCTCTCTCTCCCACGCTCTCCAATCTCTCGCTCTGCACCTTCTATCGCGCTGTGACTTGCCACGTGTTCACTGCTGTACGCACCGGAAACGGAAGTCCCACCAAACTTCACGTATATGATAGTTTACCTGGCTGTACATACGATAAGTTAGTAGCCAAAGAAAAAAATTATATACATCTTCGTTATTCGAAAATAAGCCAAAGTGATATTATTTTTGAAAAAGTTCAAACACAATCTGACGGTAGATGTTGTGGAATTTACGCCAGAGCTTTTGCCACAACTGTAGCCTTAGAAGGCAGTCCTTGTAATGAAAAATATTCCAAAGACGTAAAGTGCATGAGGCAACACTTTTTCAAAATTATAGAAGGCAATAAACTGCTGCCTTTTCCAAAATAATGATATGATAAAACATGCCTCAAATAAAGCGTCTGTTCCGATGGTACTGACAAACTAAATGCCAGAAGCGTCTAATCTGACGGTACTGATTATGATAAAAATCAGAAGCGTCTATTTTGACGATACTGATTATAATAAAAGTCAGAAGCGTCTGTTCTGACGGCACTGATTATAATAAAAATCAGAAGCTTCAATTCTGACGATACTGATTATAATGAAAATCAGAAGCGTCTGTACTGACGATATTGGCAAACTAAATGCCAGAAGCGTCTATTCGGACGGTATTGATTATAATAACAATCAGACGCATCTGTTCTGATGGTACAGATTATTACAAATATTTTATTTGTAAATGAAAATGAGAAATGGAGAAAATATATTGGTTGCGTTCTCACACGAATGGGCGTTGGAGGGGCCCATTCTACATTCTCAATATTCAAAATCACATAATTTTGATTTTGTAATATTGTTTTGTACTGAGACAAAATGTAGTGTAAATATATATGTATTATAAATTTATAAACAGTTCATAAATCAAGTTTGTGTATTTTTTATCACTTACGGTTTGATCGATTCCAAAAATGAATCGCACTGCATATAAGTTCTTGCAGAAAATTAAATAATAACCCTGAAAGCATGCGTATGTTAATGTATGTAATATATGTATGTACATATGTATATATATTACAATATGTATAAGCCTTACACCTCAGATATTGAATATATAAATCCAGTATATACAGGGTGTCTGATGCAAAAGTAGCAACCTTGAAAATAGTGGTAGATTGGGTTAAACTAAGGAGAAATATCATGTACCGCGGTACAAAGTAACAATAGTTATCGAGGAATTAATTTACACGTTTGAGCGAATGAGGATGCAGGATACGGTAGGCCGGACTCGGAAGGCATTTAAGAAAATCGATCGATGAGCGGGAGGTGGAGCGACGCGCGAGATTTTTCCACACCGTGGTGGAAAAAAACCTAGGCCCGGCGGGGAGCGCGGCGCGGGCGGCGAGCGCGGTAGCGAGCGCGAGCAACGGGCGACCCGAAATATAAACATA